AGTACAGTTTCAACAAATAATACACTGCATACATTCTTCCTAGTGGTTAATTGCTGTACAAGATGCAGACTTGTGATCCTACTTACAAACACCATTAGCCATGCTCTTCTTGACATAATGGTTTGTGAAGAGAAATCTGCTGTTATTCTGATGGGTTTTTCTTTACATGTGATCTTTTCTTTTCTCCAGCAGCTTTTAGTATACTGTTCCTGTGTTAAATTTCTGGGATCTTGATTATTATTTGTCTGGGTGTGGTTTTAAATAGGTTGATGTTATTTGGAGTTCTCTATGCTTCAATTACCAGGATGTCAGATTGTTTCCCCATGTTTGGGAAGTTTTCTGCTATTACTTCTGCCCATATTTGTTAATATCATTTGTATTGTTTTCTTCTTTCTGATTGATGTCTATTAGCCTTATGCTGTTCTTCTTTGCTTCATCTTGAAGATGTTGAATTATTTGTTCCTGCGTCCTAGTTGTTTTTAAGAGGTCTTTTCTTACCTTTTCACTAGTTGTAATGGTGTCTTCAGTTTGAAAGTCTATTTTCACTTCCATTCAACAGTTTTCCAGCTTGTGATTGAAGTTTTAATTTCCTGTATATCACTTTGAATCTGCTTCATGTGTTCTATTTGTTTCCTATATTGCTCATTCAAAGATTCCATCACTTCTATATTTTCTATTTTTTCTTCATTGTTGATATTTTCATTTCATTTTATTTTATTTTCATAATTTTATTGAGAAACAAATTGCAATGAGAGAGTTTCAAATCAAATTGGTAGGACAGTTACAATAATTAACACACTGCATATTTTCTTCCTAGTGGCTAATAGCTGCACAAAATGCAGACATGATATTCTATCTACAAACACCATTAGAACAAATCATTCTACTCATTAAGAGAATGTAACTATATATCTATCCTAACCACTTCGAATACACAGATACAAAATGGACATTCAATTGTATACCCCTTCTTTGTTAAGTTCCGTTATTTGAATATTATAGGTGTGTAAACTCAGCAAAATATTCTAAAAGAGTTCAGCAGCCCATAATAGTATTGCTCCTTCTGCTTGACCGGCAATGTCAGAAATTGTTGACTTGAGTCCCCTACAGCTCAACATAAAAGCATAGCTTTGCTTCTTAGGCTTCGTTTTTATACTTTTCTGTTGGATGGTTAAGACCAAGGTAAAGCAGGACCTATGCAAAAAGAGTTGTAGCTTTTGGGTCTGAGAAGGTCAGTGAAATCCCCTCAGGATTTATCTTGAGATCCTGTACCTCAGATTTTAGGATCTTTGTCAGTGTCAGCCATGTGGATGAGTCATGGCCCTTGCTTGGCCAATGTGCTCTCTGTGAAAGCCTGAGAGAATGTTTTCTCTCCATGTGACTCTCCTTAGGCACACTCTACATCATCAATCATTTTCCTCTTTGGCCCCATAATATCCTTGATCAGAAAATTTGGGACACT